TGTAAAATAATTTTTTTATATGTTGCACACCGGGTGAAGGATCAGTCGTGTAACATCGACGGTTCCTCCTGTTATTTTCATATAGTACTTCTATACTTAATTAAGTTGAAATTTGGATTATTTTATTTATGATCTATACTACTAGAGTAGTACTATATTCCATACATATACAGTATATTTATCTGGATTTGTGTATTACTCTAGAAGAATCATTCATACAAGGTCTTCTTAAATGTATTTATAGTACTAGGCCGTTTTTGAGAAATAGCAAGGTACGTGGGTAATATCGCCACAGGTGTAAGTTAGCAAAACACAAAAAAAATAATACATAATATCGATATACGTATTTATAGTATACAAATATATAATTATTTTATTAAAATATAAAAAATAGGGTTATACGTAATTAAGTTATTTAATTATTTACATTATACCTAATTTTGGAATTTAATTGGCTAATAATAATATAACAAATTTCAATAGATATATATGAATTTATACAATAATAGTTATAACTAATACTAAAATTCTAAAATTGACTATCGCTAAAACTTAAACACATCTTTTTGTAAAAAATAAAAGCTATATTAAAATTTAAAGTTATAGTATTTGTATGTGTGAATTTTTAGTAGGTTTAGTAGAAATGAATAAAAACCTCAAATCAATCATAGCATTAGCCGTGACAATAATTTCACCAATAAAAATTTAGGATTATAATTAGTAGTTAGAATAAGATTAGAAACTAACATTAGAGTTAAGAAAAGGTTTTGAAAGACGCTAAGCATTTCTTGCTTTGAGCATCAGACAACTAAAATTAATGATGGCATTCATTTCCCCGACAGTCATTTTATCGGCTAATCATTTATCTAACATCATTTAGCGTGACAATTTAAATAGATTATTAGTAAATTGTCACATAAGAAGTTAGATGCTTGTCGATAAAATGTTCATTGATAATACGGATTAAACATCTATTATTATTATTATTAATCAGTATAGCTTTTTTGTAAAGTTTAAAGACAGCAAAGTAAATGTCCAATTCAAGACACGGAATGGCATAACTTATAAAGTTATATAGTAGTTATATAGTACATATGGAGTCAGCTTAATTGCTTCAAAAGTTGAGGGTTTGCTAGCGCTAACTTTCAAGGCTCTACACAATAAAATGAAATCGAATTTTAATAATGAAATATATCTATATATATATATATATATATATATAAATATAATTATTAAATAAATAGACAAAACTAGTTACCACTACTAGAAGGCTCAGTAGTAATGCATTATGGTTTTTATTGAGATTCTTGCGTAATTTCTGCTGCATCAGTTATCTCAGTAGTAATGTCCTTATTCAACTTGAAATTTAATAATCTACTTGTGAACCACGTTTTTTCCTTCATTTCTTCCTCTTGTTCAAACACTCCATTTTCTTGAAATAACATACTAGATTGATCATCAGCTCTTAAAAATTCGTTCATGATCTTCATACACTTAGAGTTGTGTCTCAAATTTCCATTTGCACATTGATACCAATAATCAAGAATATATTTCAAATGTTTTGCAGCAGGTCTTTTTAATGGATCCGGGTCACAACAACGTTGAGCCAAATCTCTAAAACGTTTCGGTGCAAGTGCACTCGGAATCTGTGGTCTTTTCCCTTTATAACAGACTTCAAAAGCCAGCTTTTCATCATGCGCAACATCGCCAAATGGTAGCTTGCCAGTTGCAACTTCAGTCATAATAATTCCAATGCTATAAATATCCGAACACTCACTAACAGGATTTCCTAGAAAGGCTTCTGGAGCAATGAACGGTAACACACCATATACTAAATTATTACCTTTTAACGATTTCTCACATGTGGCCACTGATGAAGTACTATTAGCAGGTATGCATAATCCTAAATCTGCGATGGTAGAATAGGTCTCTCGTTCGTCCACACCGAGTTGGAGTATATTACCAGTATGTAAATTTCCATGAATATGGCGTGATTGAACAAGAGGAAGAAATGAAGGAAAAAACGTGGTTCACAAGTA